CAGTGCAAAGCACAGCAGTGTTTACAGCTCGTGAGATAGGACGTGCTTTCTGCTTTCTGGAAAGCGTATTTTTCAATACTAAGATAAAATAAATGGCTGTAATGTAAGGAGTCTAAAGCTGAAGCTAAACAACCCTACAGTTTTGCAGGCAGTGGCTGGAGCGTGTGTCGGTCCATACTCTGCACTGCGTGAAAACATGAGGGTGAATGAGGAGAACATGACATTCGGTACATCTGCTCGCACGTAACTGCTCAGAAACAACGTTGTGGTTTGGCACCTTGTCTGGCTTTGGCTGGCATCACTCCATACAGATCACCCCGTGACTCCCAGGGCAATGCTGTTTTCCAGCACCTCAATCTCTGGGTTCTTAGATGCATGACAGGCTGCTGAGATAAGGTTTGGGGGTTAAAACTGCTCACTATGGGGCAGCACGCTACATTACCCACTGTGCTGGGGATGGGAGCTCTCCTATTTGGATTCATATCCAAATGCCTCTTGAAAGTCCACCAGGTTGGACCCTGATGGACTTTCAAGAGGCATTTGGATATGAATCCGAATGGTTTGAGTTGGAAGGGACCCTTAAAGGCCATCTGGTCCAACTCCCCTGCGGTGAACAGGGATGCCCACAGCTCCTTCGGTGCTCAGAGCAATAAAATGCTTGAACTTCTGGTTAGCCCTCAAGTGATCAGGCAGTTGGATTGATATCTTTGTAGGTCTCTTCCACCTGAACTGTTGTAATTACTCCGCTGGAGTACCATTCAGGAGAGCACTGCTGACTGCTGTTCTTCAGGCATCTGCAGGAGCAAAGAGATCCAAAGTGCTTCTGACCTGTGAACTCAGCTTAATGTCGGCTTCGTGCAGGAAAACTTGCTTCTGGAAGTGCACTGTGAATGTCTTTGGAACTGGCAGCTGCCCTTGGTGAACGTACAGCTCCTGAAAGGTTTGGGGCTCAAGCTTGCCCTTTGGATCAAATCATAGAATTGCTTAACTTGGAGGAGACCTTGAAGAGCATGCATTCCAATCCCTGCTGTGGGTTGGTGCCCCCACCACTCATGCTGCTCAGAGCCCCATCCATAGCCTTGGGCACCTTGAGGGATGAGGCACTGACAACTCTGGGCAGCAGTGCCAGGGCCTCACTGCCCTTTAAGTAGAGAAGATTATCTGCTCTAGCAGCCTTGGTTGTCTGCTCTAGCAGCCTTGCCATCCATAATCTGAAGCTACTGGGAATATTCTGTTCCCCTGGGCTCAGGCAGGGATGGAGAGCTTTCCATTTCTCTTTAAGAGCCCCCCTGACAGGTCAGGGATGCTGAACCATGAGCAGCAGGTAAGAAATTCCAAGCATTTCTCACTGACAGCTAAATTCCCATCACAACTGATGGATGTGCCTCCCAGAGCAGGGGGGCTTGCAGGTGTGCGTGCCCACAGGTGTGGTGGTCTAGCCAGATGCTTGAACTCCTCACAGTGCTTGCAGGGAGATGACCTTGTGAACTCCACTGCAGGGATTTACTGGCAAGCTCCTGGCATGAAGGCTGTGAGATACAAGGGTTTGGCACTGGGACAGAGCTGCAGGGGTTTGGATGAAGGTGCTCCCTCCCTGAGGTCATCCTGGGGAGTGTGCTGGTGCCCTTGCAGGAGAGCAGGGAGATAGAAGTGCCCAGGCTCTGCAGGATAACCAGCAACAGTGGTGTCCAAAAGCCTGAACTCCTTGGCCATCCCTTCTCTTGCTCTTTGGAGCTTGTTTTAGGGTATCCTGGCTGAAAGGCTGGGGGCATTTTTTTCCCTTGCAGGGCCTTCCAGTGGTGCTTCCCAAAGAGGGTATCGCTCTACCCTGCCTTGGACTCTCTTTACCTTTGTGACATCCCAGCCCTAAGGTCCCAATGCACCCCCATGCCGATGTAGTAGTGCCTCTGCACCAACCCACAGAGCTGGTGCATCCACTTGCAGGCTGTGCACACTCAGTACCATCCCAGTACATCTGATGTGGCCTCAGGGCTGTCATGAAGTGTCTGCAAAGAGGGATTAGAAACTAGAGGTGTTGAGTTGATTCACGTTCCTCTTAAACCAAGCAGCCAGTGGCGAGCTGCAAGTATGCAGAGTGCAATGGGGAAGTCCATGCTGGAAACACTTCTAAGGTAGTTGTGTCTGGAGGTGCTCTGGGCACCTTGTCCCTGGGCTGGAACAAGGATGAGGTGACTTGGGGAGTGATGCTGGGGATTAGTATTGCAGGATGTGTTTCAGAGCCTTGGCATCTTCTCCAGGGAGGCAGGAGCAGCAGTGCTGTGTGCTGGACAAAATGATGTGGTCCATTCTGATACCTTTCTAGGAGCTGTTAGCAATGGGAAGATGCTTTTCCAGACCTGTGCTGTCAGCTTCTCTTCCTGTCTTATGGAGAATGAGTGGGTTTATCAGGAACATTTGCATTGTGCATTCTTACTTTATTGACAACTCTTTAATTCGCATCGCAGAGGTCGGCTGAGCTCTGCATTCCTCTTCAGTTAATCTCATTTAACCCCGTTTTCCCTCCTGCATTTCTGTTCTCTTGCTCTCCAAACGCTGTCACTGTCGTTGGCAGTGACAGCACCTGGCAATGGGATTAATTGCTTATCTCAAGTATGAGGTAACACTGTGGGCTGCTAATTACATTTATCAGGAGGGAAACTGGAGGAATTGCCCAGGGGAAGGCTGTCCCACGAAGGATGAGCGTTGAGAGCTGGTCCTACAGGTCCAGGATCCTGTCTTTTCAGAGCTAGCAGCCAACTCTGCTGCCAAGTGCAGGAGTTATTTTTGTCTGTTTTGGAAGAAGGAGGCACGGTTCATGAAAGGAATAAGAGGTAAAACTCCAAACTGGTTGGACAAAGTCATAAATACCCCACAGCCACTGCGAGCAGCAGACTCGAAGTGCTGGTGGAGGGGACTCTCTTTTCATGCCCTGTCCTTTAGGGCTGACTCTCCTGTTTTTCCCAATTGCCCTCATGCTGGTTGACCCAAAAGCACCACGCAGGAGAAAGGAGATGGCAGAGACCCAACAGCTCGGGACTGTGGAGTCATCCTGGCCTCCACCCCACAACGAGATGGGAGGCAGCTGGAAGATAAGGCTGGGGATGTAAGACTCAGAGCCTTGCTTGAGTGGAGCAGGGCTGCCGGGAGATAATGGTGGACAAAGAGAGCTGAGGAAGGGTGTTCCTCAGAACCAACAGCATGGATTTGAAGTGCTGCCATTCAGTGATCTGCTGTCTCTTGATGTGACTTTGGAACGCTGCAGAGGAGTCACACCAAAATGTTCTCATTTTGCAGGGTTATTTATTGCCTTATCTGTATGGGGATGAAGAAAGTTGCCAAAAATGCTGGTCATGTTTTAAGGGCATGTGAAAAGAGTTCTAGCAGCCCAGCTTGGTCAGAGTGGAGTAATTATGTATGTTGCTTGTATTGCATGTCAGTATTGGTATTAGTACAGGAACCCTGCTGTCATTTTGGGTGCAGAGCCACCTTCATCTCTCTGTAACAGAGATACTCACAACACCTTTCCCAGCAGTGTAACACCCTCTGAGATGGGTTAATACTGAGAGACACTGGGAACAGGATCAGAAAAGGAGTCAAAAGCCTTAGAGGATGGGGGACCATGGGGATGAAAAGATTCATGAACATGAGACGGGGGAGAAGCCGGCTTTTCAGCAGATTTCCAGCAGATCCTTTGACTTCAGGAGTCCAAAGGGACTCCTGAAGCATGCAGGGTAGGGTATTTTTCTGTTTTCTTGTTGGAAACCCAAGATAATGTTGAAGGTAAGGGTTGAAAACAGAGAACATTCTCTGTTGTTTGTCTGTGTTTGTTTTTAAATTAAAAATAAGCACTTCTAATAGCTCTTGCTTACAGCAATCCTGGGAACCTGGACGACCTGATCTAGTGGTTGGCAACCCTTCCCATGTCGAGGGATCATCTTTAAGGTCCTCCCTCCAACCTAAGCCATTCTATGGTTCTACGATACGATCCACTCCTGACCATATGTTTTTCCTGGGCTGTTTTTTTGTTCTGCCTCATTCCTGAAAGCCTTGATGGTGAGCTGAAGTAGAAGTTTGTTGAACTCAGTGCAGAAACCACCTGCCACCCCCCAGGCTCTTCATGCTGCACGAGAGATCAACAGTGGCGAAAGTCACAACGGAGTGTAGTCACCGAGAGCCGTGCTGATAAATGGTTATAGCCAAGCTGTTGCATTGGCACTGGTGACCCACTGGGTTGGAAAGGGCCTTCTAGTGCTGTAGGCTTTGCAACAATATTTTTAGCCTTATGCACCATATCTGTTAATGCTGTGTTTCAAGTTGTGGTCCAGCCTTCACCACCCATCTGCTGCAAGGCAGCACGTGAGCCACTCTGGCACCCATCATGCCTGGCTGAACATGCATTTTTTGAGTGGCTGTTGCTAACGATGTGGCTTCATCTGTGAGTGTCTAGACCCCAGCAAACTGCTGCTTGCGTGTGATGGCATGATTAGCAATGGCATAAACGAGAGGAAACTCATGGAGACTCTTACATGAATGTGGGATTCTTATGAAGAGTCAGCATTGCTTTGTGCAGGTCAGTTCCACCTCCAGCAGGAGGGAAGATCTCCACCCTAAAAGGTTTTACTAGAAAATAAGCAGCCCAGCTCATGCCATCCTCTTTGAGAGACTTTGGTATGATTTGGTGCAGCCACTCCAAACTTCTTGCATGATAGCAGGTAAAAATCCCCCTTGCTGTCCTAAGACTTGGTCAGTGGACCTTGTTTTTGCATTTGTGGTTGGGAATGCAACAGGGGAGACCTACATAGAGACCCCATCTCAGCCTGCCTTTTCAGGGTCTTCATACCAGCTGCTGTTTCTCCACTCTGTTCATTTCAACTTGTCGGGTTTTGGCTTTGGATGCTGCAACGCCCCGAAGAGCATTTTCCAGCAGCACTGCCAAGCTCTGGGCATCCTCACCAGCCCTCCTTCCTCACAACTCACCATTGCTCTTGGTTCTTTTCCAGGCTGCCCATCAGGGACCTTCAAGGCCAGCCAAGGAGATGAAGGATGCGTCCATTGTCCAATTAACAGCCGGACGACTTCGGAAGGGGCCACGAACTGCGTGTGCCGGAACGGATATTATCGGGCAGATGCTGACCCTGTCGACATGCCCTGCACCAGTATGTGGGCTCCAGGCAACTGGGGAGGGGAGGCACAGAGCTGGGGAAGGAGGCGTGCATCAGCCAAAGCATTTAGGGTGACTCAGTGCTCTAAGCCGTGGGATGACTTCACTCTGGGGCTGCTCCTGAATGCTAAGTCTTGGCTGTAGGCGCTCAGGAGTTTAGGGCAAGGGCAAGGAATCAGAAAAAATACCAAAAATGTCAGGTGAATTTTGTCGTGGGTACTGTGTGGTCAGTTTAGCAGGGATGGGCCTGAGTTAAGAAGGTAAGTTTGGTTCCCACTCCTGCTTTTGGCTGTTCAGCTTCCTGCACACATCCCTGTGACACCAAGAGAGTCACAGAATCATGGAATGGCTTGGCTCGGATGGAACCATAAAGCCATCTAGTTCCCTTGCCAAGAGCTGGTTGCCCCCCACCACACTGGGCTGCTCAGGGCCCCATCCAACCTGGCCTTGGGCACCTCCAGGAATTGGGCACCCACAGCTCCCTGGGCAGTTTGGACTCCATAATTAGCAGCCTATTCTTCCTAATATCTAATCTAAATCTCCCCTCATTTAGTTTAAAACCACTCCCCTGTGACCTTTCGCTATCAGACTGTATAAAATATTGTCTCCCTCCTGTTAATGAGCTCCTTTAAGGGCTAGAATGGCACAGTGAGGTCTCCCAGGAGTCTTCTCCAGCCTTAACAAGCCAAGCTCCCTTAACCCTTCTTCATAGGAAAGGTGCTGCAACCCTCTGAGCTTCTTTGTTGTTGAACCCCACTCCTTTCACATAGACCCACATCTCAAGGTTGTCAAGATCCAGCAAGAGAAGAAGCTGGGCTCAACACAGGACAAGTCCTTGCTGGGGATGGGTTCCCATAGCATAGAGCAGAGCCCTTGTTCTTACACTTTTCTCTCTATTCCCATCATAGCCATCCCATCTGCCCCCCAGTCCGTGATCTCCAGCGTGAACGAAACCTCCCTGATGCTGGAGTGGACCCCACCACGAGACTCAGGGGGCCGGGAGGATCTGGTGTACAACATCATCTGCAAGAGCTGCGGGTCGGGCCGGGGGGCGTGCACACGCTGTGGGGACAACGTGCAGTTTGCCCCACGCCAGCTGGGTCTGACAGAGCCTCGCATCTACATCAGCGACCTGCTGGCCCACACGCAGTACACCTTCGAAATCCAGGCTGTGAATGGCGTCACCGACCAAAGCCCCTTCTCCCCGCAGTTTGCATCAGTGAATATCACCACCAACCAGGCTGGTAAGAGACCCTTTCTCCTGTCAGACCCCCGTGGGAAGGGGAGGTGGGGGTTTGGGGACTGAACGCACGTGCTGGATGAAGCTCTGTGGTATGAGCAGGGCCTGAAGGGGAGGCGGAGTGGGGTGAGATGTGGTGTGATGTCTCTTGCTCTGTGGTAAGCAGATGCAGTGGCCTGGCAATTCCTGGACAAAACATAGAATCATATAATGGTTGACTTGGAAACGATCTTAAAGGGCCCCCAACTCCAGTCATTACCAATGGCCTTGAGCACCTCCAGGGATGGGGCGCCTTCAGCTCTCTGGATGGGTTCTGAGTACCAAGAATTTCCTCCTAACATCTAACCTAAATCTCCTCTCTTTTAGTTTAAAACCATTCCCCCTTGTCCTATCACTATCTGCCCATGTAAAAAGTCAGTTTTGCTCCTATGTATAAACTCAACCAGAGGGAATCCCTTGAATATGAAAAATATCCCCTATTTCTGTGTGCCCCAAGACAGAGCTGCCATGCCAGCCACTGCAGCAGTCTAGCTCGTGTCACTATCCTCTGGTGTCTCAGCATTTCCCTCTGGCATTGGACCCATAATCATTTCTTTGGTGCCAGCAGGCACACACGCTGTAGGTGCCTTTAATCCTCATTGCTGGCAGCGTTGCAGACACAGCAGCAGCTCACACTGCTGCTGGCAGCCCCTGTTGGTGCTCCTGGTTCCTGAGGAGAGAAGGTAATATCGGCTCAAGTGTTTTGACACAAGCTGTCATCTCTGCTCCAACTGCAGAGAAAGCGTAGCCTGTGGCCCAAGCACCAGAACAGGCCATGAAAACAGAGGAAAGCTGTAGAGATGGGAGGCTGTGAGCCAGCTGTACAGGATTGCTGCCTGGAAAACTGCTCCAGATCCTGTGCTGCTGCAAGCCACCTGCCATGCTCACCAGCCCCTCTCTGCTGTGCTTGGTGAAGAAGACAACATAGCAAAACTGTAATGGTTTCTCTTTGGGTTGCCAGCTTCTGTGCTGGCTCAGGGGGCTGGGGAAAGGGATGTGCTGGGGTTGCTGGCAGTGCTGTTTCCTAGGAGAGCTGCAGGTGGCAGCTGTGCTGGTGGCTGGGTGGCCTGCAGACCTGCTCTCCCTGTCCTGCCTGGAAGCCATCTGGACCTGGAGCACCTCTTGGGGCCAGGCCTGAGCTTAATCCTATTGCACGGTGGAAGCACATCAATATGGTGTGAGGAAGCAAGCAAGTGGTTGATCTGAACGCTGCAGACTGTGTGCAGGGAGTGTGAACGTTCCCCTGGGATCCTGGACACTACAAGAACTTCAGCACCAAATTGGATGAGTGTGGACTGTTGCATTGGCACAGAGCTGCCTGGAGGCTGTGTTGAGTGCTTGCTGCAGGGTGCGGATGCTGGTGTGGGGTGTTGGTAAGGCAGTGGTGGTGCAGATGGGCATGGGTTGGTTGGGCGCACACAGTGCTGAGAGAGGTAACGTGCAAAAATGTTTCGGTCACCCATGAACCGTCTTGGTGAAAAGCAGAAAGCTGAGCTGAAGGTGAATCCTCTTTCAGTCCCCTGATCATCATCCTCCTTGTTTGATACTCCTTCATTATCAAGACTCACACCTCTCAGCCTGTGTGATATCTCCCTTAATGTATCTATTCATTAGCACTAAACAGTAACTGTCTGCTTGCTGATTCCTCTGTAATTAGAGGTTCTGAATTCTTCAGCTTACACTGCCTGGCAGCCTTGGTGTAGATCATTAGCAGTTGGTAACAGAAGCTGCACACACAAAGGCAGAGCTGGGACAGGAGAATGGAGGGTGTTGTACCAGGAGGAGAGTGCATGGAGAGAGTGGGGCATTGAGCCTGGGAGTTGGTGGCTGCAGCATGGAGCTGCATCAGAGGAGGCTCAGGTGGGTGATAGGGAAAGGATCCTCACCAGAGGGCAGTGGGCATGGCACAGATCCCTGGTGCACAGGGAGCACTGGGACACTCAGCCATAGGGTTTGGGTTTGGGTGGTGCTGTGCACAGCCAGGTGTTGTGCTCGGGGACCTCGGGTTGGCTCCTTCCAACTCGGGATGTTTTGTGATTATGTTGAAATCCAGCAGCATCTTTAACCTTCAGATATCATAAATTCCTCAGCATTCCGGAGAAAAGATGCTATGAGACAGTGGGAAAACGATCCCTGTAGAATGGCTAGAGTGCAAATACTGAGTTTGAATGGAGGAGTGCAACTGGTGGCTTTGATGGCATCATGACAGTTGACACTAAATAGCAGCTTGAGATCAAAGAAGATAACACACCATTCACCTTCCTGTTCTCCTAGAATTCACAGCATGCTAGAGTAGCCTAGGTTGGAGGAGACCTTAAAGCCCATCCAGTTCCAACCCCTGCATTAGGCTGGGTGCCCCCCACCAGCTCAGGTTGCCCAGGGCCCATCCATGGCCTCAGGCACCTCCAGGGACATCCACAACTTCTCTGGGCAGACCGTGCCCGAGCCTCACCACCCTGTGAAAGACAGTTCATCACTGCCACATCCCTCTCCAATGATTACTGCCATCATTTGAAATACGCACCTTCTTTCTGGTCTGGATTTCACTAACATTCAGTCTGTGTCAACCAAACGCATTTTGCTGTTGTCCTGTGTTGGTAGGATGTTTGTACTCATGTAGAGACACAGTGGGTAGCTTCTCTCAAGGGAAAATAAGAGACAATTAGACCAAGATGGATCATTCTTTTTTCGCTATGAGGTGGTTTTGCAGAATGTGGCTCTCCCTTTAGCTCTTTGTGGACACTTTCATATTCTTCGTCATAATTCTGTGTTAATTAGATACTGCAGCCAGTAGAAGCACTACTGCAAATAAACTGCTTTCCTTTCTGTGCTGTTTGCTCACTGTTTGCTCTATACATCCAAGGACTCTGCAGCCTCACTCAGCTGTGCAAGGAGCTCTTACCTCCTTGGTGGTCTCTCTGACAATGTCTTGGTCCCTTCACATTCTGCTTCCCTGGTGCAATATGCCTCTCATCAAGGCCTGCATTTGAGTTTCCAGACCTAAGCATAACCTCATTGTTGTATTCATGGGCTCAGCCATCAAGCTATGTTCACTGCTGTGCAGAGAGGTTGTTTCTGTGTCTGTGGCTTTTCTTGAGTCCTGGAAAATGCCACCTCTCTGGTAACCTCTCCCAGGACTATGTCACCCTCCTGAGGAGATGCCTTTCTTAATTTCTAGTCTGTATCTGTGGCTCATTGCCCTTGTCATGTCATCCATCCCCAGTGAGCAGAGCTTGCTTTCTCCCTTCTTTAACTGCTCTTTAGGCAGTGGTGACTAAGATTAGATTCACCCTTACTGTCTTCATTAGCAGGCTAGACCAGAAAATTATAAAGGACCAGCATCAGAACAAAAGAAATTAAAAGAGCTTGAAAGAGATCTTCCCTTTCTACCACCTCCCTGCTCCCCAGCCAACTCAATGGATTTACCCATTCTGGAATTTACCCATTCCAGCAAACTCTGTGTGATCCCATTTCCTGTCACCTTTAAGACCAGGCTGTATTTTCTCTTTGCTCTTCTCAGTAGACTTCTCCGTGACTCCCTAAGCTGCATTTTATCAATGGCTCATCCTCTGCTTTCCTGCCATACGGTGCTGCTCCCCTACAGCTCTGTATGGAGGCACGTCCAGGACTTTCCATCCACCTCTTACAAAACCTTGATGCCTAAAAGAAAACAAACATGCCGTGCAGATATAGGGTGCCACAAAAAACCTTTTCTCAGCCATTCCAGAACCAGAGATCTGTGCCAAGAGGGGTGGATGAGAGGAGAGCTGAGAGGCGTGCCAGCATCCCAGGAGGGAAGGAGCAGGAGGGAAGCCAGGGGTCAAGGAGCTGAGCATGGCCCAATGCTTGGGATAATGACACTTGACTAATTGAGAACCATGCCGTGTGTCAACCCTCTCACTTGTGACAACACACTGCTCCTGCTTGCTAATTTGTGGCATTCTTTGGGGAGGGTTGGGGAGGGGGATAATCTTGGTGCTGGAAGGATTTTCAGTCTCCGTTCATGCTGTGGATGAGCTGAGTGCCTGGGAAACTTGGGGAAGGAAAGGGCTCCTTGGGCAGGGAAGTTTTAAATAGCAAGTGGGAAGAGCAGCTCTTGGTATCGGGCTGTGGCTGCAGCTCACCTGGAAGGGAGGAGGAAGAACTGCTCTGCAGATTACACCAATTCAAGACCTCCCAGTGTCTGGGGGAACAAGAACATCCAGATTTTTTGGGGACGTGTTCCTTATGAGGGATTCTTGTGTCACACAGAGTCAGAAGGGAGGATTCGTTCCAGTATCAGAGGCTCTTGGCTGCAAACAGAGCCCAAATAAACAGACTATGGGATAGGTAATACAGTGTGAACACCAGCTAGTGTGTGGCACAGGGAACAGATATTCATTCCCAATAAACTGATCAGGAGAAGCATCCTCTGCAGCAGAACTGAATGGCCCATCTTCTGTGTTTCTGTGGATTCAGATAACTTACTTTGATGGTATATGTCACGGCATGAGTCCTTTGGCTTGGGAGATGCACAGCTCACACTTGTGCTCTAGGTTCGTGCCAGACATCATTAAGGTTTAAAATTCCCTTGTAGCCATGGTCCATGAGCTTCTGCTCCTGGCTTTGCCCAGAGCAGGCTGCGGCTTTGAAAAGATTTCCCTGTCTGTGAAACAAAAACCTGGGGAAGTGCATGCAGAAGTCACTTTAGAGAGCTGGAATGAGCTTTCCAGCTCTTAAAATGAGTCCATTTCTTGTTGTCTTCCAGTATAAATGTAAAAGCCAGGAGACTGTAGCATCCTAGCATCTTGCATCTCTCATCCAACCACCCAGCTATGGCAGGACAGGTACAGTTTTGGCTGGATAATTCTTGGTAATCACCAAAGGCAGAGTTCTCCTCACATCTCCAACCTGCCCTAGGGCTGCACAACCTCCTGGGGAGGAAGCTTTTCCTCATATCCAACCTGAACCTCCTAAGCTATGCTC